CATAAACTTGTAGGTAGAAAATTCCACTTACATAGCAGCCAGTCCACATGAGACCCTCATGCTCTCAGATGAGGATAAATCTGTGTTGTTGGGTGTACAGCTGAATAACAGGTGTACCAAGATGGCCGCCACGCCGGAAATACGTCACCGCGCTTACGCCGACGCGTTACGTCACAATATCACGTGACTTCATCAGGGCCCTGATGAAGTCACGTGATATTGTGACGTAACGCGTCGGCGTAAGCGCGGTGACGTATTTCCGGCGTGGCGGGCCATCTTGGTACACCTGTTATTCAGCTGTACACCCAACAAAACAGATTTATCCTCATCTGAGAGCATGAGGGTCTCATGTGGACTGGCTGCTATGTAAGTGGAATTTTCTACCTACAAGTTTATGTTCCTATGTTCCTATGGTATAAATAAATAAATATACTACACTATGGGAGGATTCCTCTTTTTGTTCTGAGGGATTGATGTTTCACCTATACCTGGAGAAGAGCTTGAGTGGGATTATTGAAATTTGAAAAGCGTTTCTGGAAGGCTGTGGTGCCTGGAGGATCTGTGAGAGGGATCCATTATTGCTCTTTGATCCGCAAGGGTCGAAGGGATGAGGTGAGAGGCTAATCCAGAAGGTGGGTTGGATTCACAAGCTCTATCTACACTCAGATACCTGCACGATTTGGTTCACCTGTGGTCACTTTGCAGTATTATTGGAAACACCGTTATCATTTTTGTTCACCTTCAACATTTAATTGGACTTTCTGTGCGTTTAATAAGCAATTATTTCACTTCACATTTTTTTTCACCTTCAACATTTATAGATTTGTTTTTTCTGTGCGTTTAATAAGCCATTATTTCACTTCACATTTGCACGTGTGATATAACTATATGTATGTGTAATTTATGCACATGCGTATAGATTTAAGTTTGTGTTTTTATAATTTTTGGGGTGTTTGATGTGATAATTTTTTGTGTTATCATTAAGCACTTATATATTTATTTACATAATATTGTCACTATATTGATTTATATTATCGGATTCCACATTCACTTTAATTTTGAATGTAGCGCAGCATTTATATGGTTTATAAAAAAAAATTATATACCACCATTTGTAAACTCTATAACTTTCACGTAAACCAATTAATTTACACATATTGGGATTTTTTTTTAGCAAAGACATGCAGCAGAACATATTTTGGCATAAATATATGCCGAAATTTGATTTTAAAATTTTTTAATGGGTATGTTTAATAGCAAAAAGTAAAAAATATAGGGTTTTTTTTTTCAAAATTGTCGTTTTTTTTTTGTTTATAGCGCAAAAAATTAAAAACCGCACAGGCAATCAAATACCACTAAAAGAAAGCTTGATTTGTGGGGGAAAAAAAAGACATAAATTTCATTGAGTGCAGCGTTGCATGACCCCCGCGATTGTCAGTTAAAGTAACACATCGCCGTATCGCAACAAATGGCCTGGTCAGGACGGGGGACGGGGGGGGGTAAATCCTCTGGAGGGCAAGTGGTTAAACAGGCCATTTATTTTGAGTGGGCTGGTATTGCATAGTAAAAAAGTAGACTTGTTGCATTTTTTGTCTTAAAGCAGCCCATCAAAGTGCTCAGTATTGCAGTGCGCTTCGGTGCAGGTCTGTGGGCCCCTACTGTACTTAGGCATTGGGGTGCTATTTTAAAGGCATGGCATTGCAATGCACCTCACAATAAGCAGCTTGCCACTCAGCATTGTGGAAAAAAAGGTGCAATTTATAACATGTAACATGTAACATTTATAACATTATAGCATAAGTGTGAAGGGACCAGGGGCGGACTGACAACTCATGGGGCCCCCGGGCAATAGGGGATCATGGGGCCCCTGTGTCCTTGCCCAAACTCAAAAAAGCCTATGAAAAAGGTACCAGGGGCATCTCATGGGGCCCCCTACTGACCCCGGGCCCTCGGGCAGTGCCCGAGTTTCCAAATGGTCAGTCCGCCCCTGGAAGGGAGCTATATCACCAACTATACGGTATAGCAGAAAGGTCAATAGATTCAGAAAGTTTTATTTGGACCTGGACATTGAAGATAAGATTCAAAATGGCAGTGCTAATAATTAACCTACTATTATATTATGACATTAAAGTGCAACTCCAGCATGGAGTCTTTCCTTTTTGCATTGGCCCAAATACAAACCCCATTAAAAAAAAACAAAAACCACTATATACACCTTTTCCCAACAGTCTTCTTGCTGGTCCGACAATTTTCTTCTTGTTGATGTCACAGGATCTTCCTCTTATTGTGGTAGTGAGGGGCAGCCATTCCTCCTGGACAGAGCGGGGCTCATGTACTGTAATGACATGTGAGCGCTTCTCAGTGAAATATTGTGAGTACAGTCTATGTGATAACCTGCATTGGGGTGTGCAAATGGCAGGCTAGAATTGCAAGAAAATGGCAGTGAGTGTGATTCTGTCTGAAGAGATCCGTTGGTGGTTGATGGAGGAAGTAGAGTTAAGTAGAATTTTTTTTAAGGCGGTGAGAGTCAAAATATTAAAAAAAATGGAGTTCTGCTTTAATCCAGACACTAACAGACTCAGGGAAAACCTATTACTTTAATTTAAACTGGTTACTTAAAATTAAATGAATTTAAACTACAGCATAGTACTCTTTTTTAATGCAGATTCACGATAATTTTTTTTGCGCATTAATTATCTGTAAAACAGCTGACATACCATTAAAAAAAGTCACATAAAGGCCTACTTAGATGTCTCAGTCTACAGGCGGTTTCTATTGTGTAATGGGGCATTCAGCAGACTTTTTCTTTTATCTTCAATTATTCTTACAAAAATATGCTTTGAACGAAATCGAATAAAAGCTGTTTAAGACTATAATAAAAAAAAGGGCAGACCTACTAAAAAATAACCACATTAAATGAAAATATTTGTCCTTTGGTTAAAGCAGTGAAGTCCACTCTGTCCTGTCACTGTTCTCTGAATGAATGAAATGTGTCTCTGGGTTGTAGGTTTTTTTTGTTGTAAGAATTACATATAGCAAGTGCTAGCAGCCATGAGAGCTGTGTCAAGGCGCCATCTACTGATTAACTTTATTGTTACAGTCCTGAAAAGGTTAGCTCAATCCAACATAAGCAATAAATCATTGATATGTTTTGCCGTTTCAAGTTCACCTGCAAATAAAAAAATACATTTCATCTCACTTAGCCCATCTTAAAGCATCTCTAAGCAATTTAGTTGGTATGTTTGTTAATTCTTTATTCAGATTGCTTCCCTTTGGCTAATCACCTGATTTAGATGAGATGCTCTTTAATGTGAATATGGTGCAATTGTAGTAATTGGATAAACATTGTTCTTCAATTTCAACTTTGACCGTTTTCAAATATGCAAAAGAAAAGGTTGCATTTATCATTTACATACAGATCTACCCAAGAAATAACATGTATCTATTTTAATAGTTTTAGTTTGTAAAAGATAACAGCTTCTTAATGAGTCAATAGAGGTCATCATCTTAATTATTTAGAAACAGGAATGTATAAGATTTCTGGATATTTAAAAACACTTAATTCATATTGAAGATAGGAGGATCCTTTAATGTTTCTGCAGATGCAATCAACTTACTCATCAAAGTCTAAAATAAGGACCGTTTGTATCCTTTAACCCAGGGGTGTCCAAACTTTTTTCAAAGAGGGCCAGATTGGATGAAGTGAACATGGTGGAGGGCCGAACATTTTTTCCGAACATTCTTTGAACCATTACAATTAAATGCAAATAAATTATTTTTTATGCCAAGTTAATTGCAAACGACATACTTTTCATTTCATAACATTAAGATCAACTGACAGCTGAGTTTTCACAATGTATTAAAAATAAATTTAAAAAAAACTTACCTGCACTAATGTGAAGGGTGAAAAAGGTAGCTGGAGCTGAAGTCTCTGCTCGGCAGCCGGGAGGGGAAGAGAAACGCACTTCACGCTGGAAGCCCAGCCCTGACGTCACCGCCCTCTGTCGCTCCCAGCGTGGCGCAGTCACGCATGCACACTGCTCTCAAGCAGAAGGCTGTCTGCCACAGAAGGGAGGGCCGTGCGACAGCCACATTTACACAGACCAGGGAGAACGTGCCGCAGTCAGACATGCGCACTGCCCTCTGCTCTCAAGCAGAAGACTGTCTGCCATAGAAGGGAAGGTCATGGGAGGGCCACATTACACAGAGCAGGGAGGGCTGTTGGAGGGCCATAATAAACCGACCCCCGGGCCGTAAATGGCCCGCGGGCCGGACTTTGGACATGCCTGCTTTAACCACTTGCTAACTGCGCTATAGGCGAATGACAGCCACAGCGCTGTTATCCAGTTCTGGGAGGACGTCATATGACATCTTCCCAGAATGCGCCCTCCCGAGCGCCCCCAGTGGTGCGCACCCGGTGATCTCTGTGATCGCTATGTCCTACAGACACAGCTGATCACGTGATGAGTTACAAGGCCAATCAAAGCGGCCTTTTACCATGTGATCAGCTGTGTCCAATGACACAGCAGATCATGGAGTAAATACAGTTGCCGGTTATCAGCAGCACTTTCCTCACGCTGTCACAGCATGAGGAAAGTACTGTCAATAACCAGCAGCTGTCACAGAGCAGAGGGACATTGATCAGTGCTCTACAGTTCCGCTCAGCAGTGCCACCCACCAGTGTCCAGCAATGCCACCCACCAGTGCCCAGCAGTGCCTACCACCAGTGCCCAGCAGTTTCTCCCATCAGTGCCCAGCAGTGGCGCCCATGAGTGGTGCCCATCAGTGCCACCCATCGGTGTCTAGTAGTGCCACCAGCCAGTGCCTAGCAGTGCTGCCTGTCAGTCTCATCAGTCAGTTCCACCAGTCAGTACTGCCATCAGTGCCCATCAGTGCCACCTATCAGTGCCCATCAGTGTGCCGCCTATCAGTGACCATCATTGCTGCATATCAGTGCAGCTTCCTCATCAATTCCCATCACTGCTGTTTATCCATGCCACCTCATCAGTGTCCATCAGTTCTGCCTATCAGTGCCCATCAGTGCTGCCTATCAGTGCAGGCTCATCAACGCACATCAGTGAAGGAGAAAAAATGACCTGTTTACCAAAATCTTATATTAGAAAGAAAGAAAAACTTATTTTTTTTGTTTATAGCGCAAAAAAGAAAAACATCAGTAGAGATTAAATAACACCAAAAAAGCTCTATTTCTGTGAAAAAATGATAAAAATTTCATATGGGTACAGTGTTGCATGACCACGCAATTGTCATTCAAAGTGCGACAGCGCTGAAATCTGAAAATTGGCCTGGGCACCAAGGGGGTAAAGTGCCCGGTAGGCAAGTGGTTAAGTCTACTGCTATAGTTGGGTTATTTACTAAAACTACATGGTGCAAAATCTGGTGTAGCTCTGCAAAGTAACCAGTCAGCTTCCAGGTTTTACTGCCAAAGCCTAATTGAACAAGCTGAAGTGAGAAGCTGATTGGCTACCATGAGCACCAGACTCTGGGTGCTCCAGTTTTAGTAAATCCCCCCAAGTATGTCAGAATGAAAGGAAAAATAAGACTGGTTGTTCTGGGAGGACAACTCTAGTTTAAACAAATTGACAAGTCTAATACTTTGCTATTCCAAAAATTTGACCAGAAGAGATATCTAAAGCAGATAACTACTCAGGGATCCCACATACAACAAAAACCCAATATAAATATATTGCTCAATAAAATATTTCAGCTATACCCTGACTGAAAGAATCATTCGAATATATGACCTATCAGTCATAAATCTAACTGATCTATGAAAAAAGATTTTATAAGTGATCTATTTTATGATCTGTTTTCTAGTATACAAGCAAAATATTGGCTCAGACTTTTGGAAGTAATTGCCAAACATCCACTGTAGCTGATTGACGGAACTCATTGCATCAAAAGGATGAAAAGCCTGGGTTTTGCAATTGTTTTATATTATATCAAGCTTCTTTGATCTCAATACCATAAGATTTTATAATTGATCTTATAGGAGGCATAGGCATTGATTTACTAAAACGTGAGAGTGCAAAATCTGGTGCAGTTGTGCATGGTAGCCAATCAGCCTCTAACTTCAGCTTGTTTAATTAAACTTTGAGAAAAACATTTGGAAGCTGAGCAGAGCTGCACCATATTTTACACTCTCTAGTTTTAGTAAATCAACCCCATAGTTACTTGACCGATTTACAAAAGTCTCAACAATCAACCATGATATCCATTATGGGTGAATGTACACAAAACAAAAATGTAATGTGCTTTCTCATTCTACTGTTACAGTTGTTCAGTTATTTAGGCATACTTTATTTACTTACTTTATACACCAGTTAGATATAGGTATTTATTACGAAGTCACAGGAATCATGCAAAGTACATGTCCGTGGACGTATGATAAACCCAGCAAAATATTTGTGAACCCCAAACATAGCAGCTGAACACTATCTGCAGTATTGGAACTGAATCTTGTTATTTTTCTGCTCTCTTTAAAGGCCAATTTGACATTTGCAAACCATTAAGTCCTCCCACAAACCCCTACCTTTTCGGTGACAGGACGAGGCTCTTGTCCCCTCAACATGGCACAAGGTACCTTATAAGAAGGAAAGTTTTGCCTCCCCTTTGCCAAATATCCTCCCAATGTTCAAGGCATGTGACCTGGGATTGTTACATAAGGGAAAGATACACATTTGCTGATTCCCTTTTCCTGGCCACCCTGGCTACATTCCAGAATAAATGTCTGATTTGAGTTTTTGGGAATTTAATTTTTGGTGAATCATACACTGTTTTTGCCTTTTTATATGTACTGTCCCTTAAAAAAATGGAAGAAAAAGTCATACCAGATCTTTATCTAGACAGCCTGGGTGGCTGTGAAAGGGGGGAATGTGAACCTACACTCCCCCCCCCCCCCACAAACAATGCCAGGCTAAGCCCCCTCCCTTTCTTGAGGGGACAAGGGCCTAATCATATCGTTTTAAAGGGATGTTGGGTTTTGGGGGGTACTTACTGGAAGCCGCATTTTTAAAAAGGGGTCCCCTAGATATCCATTAGATACATTAGTACTCTATGCAAAAATCAAATAAAGACACCCAATCCATGGACAAGTCTTTTATTAACCACTTGCCCTCCAGAAGATTTACCCCTCTTCCTGACCAGGCCATTTTTTGCTATTTGTCAACTGGTAATTGCACGGTCACACAATGCTGTACCCAAATTAAATTTGTGTCCTTTTTTTCCCACAATAGAGCTTTCTTTTGGTGGTATTTGATAACCACTCCGTTTTTTATTTTTTGTGATATGAATGAAAAAATACTGAAAATGTAAAAAATAAAAAGACATTTTCTACTTACGTTTACAAAAAATATCCAATAAACTCAAAGTTAGTCATACATTTAGGCCAAAATGGATTCTGCTACATGTCTTTGGTGAAAAAAAAAAAATTCCAATACATATATATCAATTGATTTGTGTGAAAGTTATAGCGTCTACAAACTATAATATATATACTGGAATTTACGCAGCATTTACTTTCTGATTGCCTATCACACTTCTTGAGGTGCCAAAAAGCCAGGGCAGTATAAACACCCCCCAAATGACCCCTTTTTTTGGAAAGTAGACACCCTGAGGAATGTGCTGAGAGGCATCTTGAGTCCATGAAAGATTTTATTTTTTTGCCATAAATTTTTGAAAAATTGACATTTTTTTACACAAAGTTGTGACTTAAATGATATATTGCTCATGTATACCATGGGTATATGTGGAATAACACATTCTGCTACTTCTTCCGAGTATGGGGATACCACACGTGAGAGAATTTTTGCCAGCCTCTCTACATACAGGCCCCCAAAATCCAATGACCACCTCCAGGCTTTCAAAGCGCATATTTTCTCATATCACTTCCTCACTACCTATCACAGTTTCAGAGGTCCTAAAATGCCAGAATATCACAAACACCCCCCAAATGACCCATTTTTGGAAAGTAGACAAATGAATTTAATAAGAGGTATAGTAAATATTTTGCAGATATCATTTTACCACAGGGTTTTGAAAAAGAAACCCTTCATTTTCCAAAAACTTCTGGCAACAAATGAGATCTGCAAACTACTAACCATGCTCCTTAGAAAATATCTTGGAGTGTCTACTTTACAAAAAGGGATCATTTATTGCTTCTACTATCCTGGCATTTCAGGGCTAACATTAGAAGCTTCTGCCACACATCACCCACTTTTCTATCCACTTGAAGAAAAAACATTTTTTTTTTACTAGAAAATTATTTTGAACCACCAAACATTATATATTTTTAAAGCAATGACCCTAAAGAATACAATGGTGGGTGTTGCAATTTTTTATGTCACACAGTATTTGCGTGGCAATTTTTCAAACGCTAATTTTTTAGAAAAAGTACTTTTTTGAATCAATGCACAAAAACACAATATATTGCCAAATTGTTTGACAACATATAAAAGATGATATTATACCGCATAAATAGATACCAAACATGACATGCTTTAAAAATGCACATGCCTGGGAAACAATGTACATTTTTAATATCGATAGGCGACACTTTAAAAGCCTTTACAGGTCACCACATTATATTTATATAGGAGGGCTAATGTTGCAATTACTGCCCTCGATCTGACGTTTGTGGTGATACCTCACATGCATGGTGCAATCTCTGTTCACATACTGACACAGGACCGCTGCCTTTGCGCATGAGCACGTGAACGGGGGTGTGGTAGCATGATTTTTTTTTTTAATTTAGATTTTTTTTTTTACACTGTCCCTTTTTTTTTAATCACTTTTGTTGTTATTACAGGGAATGTAAATATCTCCTGTGATAGCAATAGGCAATGCCAGGTATTCTTTTCTGAGAAATCTCGGGTCTATTAGACTCTAGATCTCTTCTCTGCCCTTAAAGCATCTGATCACACCAAGATCAGTGAGATCAGATGCTTTCCTAATTTAAAAATGGCATTGTTAATATCCGGAGAAATGGAAATGATGAAATGCTCATAGCTTCTGGTTTCTTAGACCATAGAGATGATTGGAGCCATTCTGGTCTCCAATCAAATCTATGGTCAGCCAGTGGAACTGCCGGCTGCATTCTAGTATTCCCCTGTGGGACGGGAGAGCCCCAGAAAACCTTGGAAGGCAGTGGGGACAACCCTTCCTGCTGCTTGTAAAAACATTCCAGCAGCTAATTAGGCACTAGGATTGCTTTTGTATGAAAGCCAACTACCAGCTGAAAAAAACAATACCAGGATGATGCCTGTAGCTGCAGGTGTCATCTGGGTATAACCACTCAAAGTCCAGCGACGTACCAGTACATTGCTGGTCCATGTTGGGCATATATGTAACAGCAGAGAACAAATGATGAATCAGGTCTGTGGACCAATATGACCGCAATTCAATCTTTTTTTGTAATGCCCATGTTGAGGGTTAGGCCCAAAAAAGCTTTATATTCAGAAACCGTGATAGGTTTCCATGCACATTGTCTGGCAAGAGCTGAATTTGGGTGGGCGGCAATGTATTGTTGTGCGTATAAATTGCCTTGGCCCACAATCAATTAGTACAAATCTTCCATGAAAAACAGCGGAGGGGCTAAGTGCTAGTGCTGGCAGTGAACGGGGCCGAACCTGCTAACACTGCGTTTTAGGGGACACTATTCAAAGGAGGCACTGGTATAGTTCTGTTCAGGATCAATATATTGATCTGTACAAATACTATACTAGTAATGGCGGTGATCAGCGACCTATAACATGAGTGCGATAGTGTGCGGGCAATCTTACGGTAGCTGACCCTGATGTTATCTAATGTGGTTAGTGGCAGTAATACAGTGATCAGTGAAAAATTCTATATACTGACACTGTACCAAAGGCACTGGCTAGGTGATGGGGTGATCAAAGTGTAATAGGGGTGATCCAAGTGTTAAATGTGGTAATCTAACGTGTGCATGTAAACTGTAGTGCTTTTACTTAGTGCAGTGTTCTCTCTTCTCTCCCTGGACCGACGGGGGAGGGGGGGGTGTTTATCAGGGGTCGCAGGCATG